ACGTGTTATGCAACACATCTCCTTGGATTCAATGAACCTGATCTACCTGTCGCTAGTGGTGGCGCATACATTTCACCCTATAATGCATCAGTCCTTTGGAAACAGTATATACAACCAGTTAAAACACAATGCAATATCAGTTTGGGTGCACCGGCCGTTACAAATGCGGTCGCTTCCGGTTGGGGTACAGATTGGCTCAATCAGTTCTTCGGCAACTGTACATCTCCAAATTGTACATTTGATTTCATTCCATTTCATTGGTATGGTCAATCAGTTTTGGATTTTGAAACGTATGTTGCCAATTTTCATACGATCTTTCCAACGTATCCTCTTTGGGTAACTGAATTTCAATTTACCGGTGTATCGAATGTTACAACAGCCTATATGGTAAAACAAGCCATGCAATGGCTCGATGCACAATCCTATGTTGTACGCTATTCGATGTTCGGTCCGATGAACCCTGCAAATATGGCCGGTATTCCAAATGGTGCAATGGTTAAAGATGATCTCACTGGATTGACACCTGTGGGATTGGAATATGCGGGACTGATGTAGAAAAACAATACGGATGCTTCGGTTGAACTGTTAGATTAAACTGACCTTGACTAGTAGTTTTTAGGTGGTTTTGTGTGGGTTTATGATCATTTTCAAAGGCTTTTACGTATTTCTACATTTAAAATGCCTCGGCTTCGTTCTTTTAAAAAAACAACAGTACTTTCGGTGAGTTATTCTATATATAAAGAGTTGTCTCATTTCATTTTTGACACGAATTGCATTGATCTACCCACTGATACTATAGGGTTTTTGATATCTGTGCTCAATAAGAGACGTAGTATAAAACGAGGACAAGGTAAGACTTTTCTGAAGTGGATACATGCAACGTTTGTCTCGTATGTTGTTGTTTTTGTCTAGTATGTTGTTGTTTTTGTCTAGTATAGTGTAAATAATTTGATCGCTTCCGCTTGAATACAGTGTCATTAACTCCTCTTGCTACACCGGTGCCGTTGCGGAGTTAATCGAAAGAAGTTTATCAACCGAAGAAATCGATATGATAACAGTATTATGTAAAGAAAGATGCAATTCTGATGCGTTTCAGTCTTACTTTTAGTTCCCGTTTATGCCTGTCCTCTGTTCTTTTCATAGTCTATGGAGAATGTTAATAGGCGGAACGACAGAATTTTTTGTGAAATGCGAAAATTGCAAACATCTAAATAGGTCTCATTTTCGCTGGTATAATACAGTACCTTATATAACAGACACTGTTTTTCGTTTTCATTTAAAATGAGAAACGACGTTGGTATCGTCAATACACGCGACGAGAGTACAATACGGTTATATCACGTGGATAAGCACGTGAAGCAATCTGTCCTTTTCTAACATTTACCTTCATACGAAGAAACATGCTTCTTATAAACGTATTATATATATATATACTCTCGCGCCACGTGTATGATTGACGATACCAGCGTTTTTTTTCTCATTTTAAACGAGACGGTGGTGACTATTTTTACTGACCGACCGACCTTACTGACCAAATTTGATTGGTGTAACCATGGGATAGACCAATCAAATTTGGTCAGTAAAAATAGTCACCACCAACGCGCCGAAAAACAGTGCCTGTTATATAACGCACTTTATTTCTTAAAGTAGACTATTTTTATACTCGAACTTTTTGCAGTTTATATCTGCTTTTTGAACATTTTTAAAGTAGAACTAAATTAGTAAAATAACCAATTTACACAGTCAGTACACAGCACTTGCAGTGAGTGAGAGAATAGGGATATAGAAAATCCTTTCTATTTTACTGTCATACAGTTACAATTTTTCTGCATTCATTTTGGGTATCAAAAGTGGTTCTTCTTTCTTATGAAACACTCCAAATAGAGGGGCTTTCTCAGTGTGTAGACTCAGTTAATGTTTGCTATATAAAGATCTCAGAATAAATTTGCACAGAAGTGAGAAATGCATGAAAGGTTAATGTTATAACAATTACGAATATTCTCGGTGTAATATTGCTTTGCTGTTAGTGATTCTCAGAATGTAGCGATGATCAGTTCGGTTCTATTTGACCCACGGAGGATTAGGGCTCAGCCATTCCGCCTCATTGGCAGACTATTAGGTTGGCTCTAATATCGACAGATATACATTCTCTGAAAGTCCAAGCGTGAATGTTTTCTTCACATATGGTAAGCGTTACCTTACGGTAAAACTCACATGCAAACTGTAAAACATTTAACCGCTCTCACTCTGATTCTGAGATCGAATGCCACTTATATGGCAAACCATAATTGAGAAACACATGCGAAAAATCCATTAATATGCTTCTTATGACAAGTAGAAAGGATTTAGACAAAGAGAGGCCGTCTTAATAAAACTACTGTATATAAGTTTTGATCTCAACTTCAAAGTGAGTCTGAGGTGAATGATTGACCCCGATTGTGTTATGTTTCCGAAGAAAAGAACGAGTACGTAAAATATGGTGAAATCACTCAGCTATCTCAAGAAATATTCCTTTTGAGAGATCCTTTTATATCAAAATCCGATAGTGTAACATTGTGACTAGAGAAAATAAGATCTATTTAGACAAGGGGACAGAGAGATAAATTTGCTGTGCATGTCCTCTGAATTTACTATCTGTAAATTTTAGTGTAGGAGCTAAATATGTGTACGAAAATTAGTTTTTAACAGCAGCTTGATATTCGGAAGAAAAGTGTGCACCTCGACTGGGAATCGAACCCAGGACAGTGATATTCACGACCATTGCTCTGACCGCTGAGCTATCGAGGCACAGCCTTCGATACACATATTTTCTTTCTTCTGAACACTATTATATAGTGATGAGGATTTTTACTATGCGCAAACTAATTTTATCGCCAAGCACGCCTGGAAGTGAGAACACACTAGGACCATACAAGACCGAATCGCACTTTATATGTTACCGGCTTTCTTAGAATAGCAAACGGACATACTTTTAGTAGCGAAGCCATGAAAGTTTACGTAAAATCCTATTATATTTTATTGAAAGCTCGTAATGCTGCCTTACTATCTGACTCATACTGACTTTTCCGTTTCAGATAGGGATTATAACATGACAAAAGCATTATCTGCTCGACGAACGCATTAAAATTTGATTGCACTGTGTTCTCGAAGAAAAGTCGGAGTAAAACATAGTGGAATCAATCGTAGACGACAAAACGGTCACTGAAAAAATCTGGAACTAGTAACATTATCGGACACTACCAAGATGACCGTCCGGATGCGTGGTCAAAGAGGTCCAAAACACAACAAAGACTGGACGCCATTGCTCTGCGCAAAGCGGCACTTTGTGGACCTCAGTCATACCCGCAGACAGCGCGTCGTGTTTCGCTAACGGACATGTTGTTTAAGATGGGTGACGGGACGGTCATCGTGATGGCGTTCGATACTGTTGATTTAAAATAAATAAAACGCGACAGGTGTATAGTCACAACACTAGTCCGGACAGGCGTCCTCACCCGTCTTTTTCTGCGGCGTCCGGACGCTGTCATCCCGTTCAAAAGTGGCACTTTACCCACACCTTTGTTGGCCTTGGTCACCCGTCCGAAACCAAAAACGGACCGCACTTTTTAGCCGTCTTTTGGTTGCCTAGGCAGCTAGATGTCCTCTATCGAATAATGATCGAAATTAAATTTCATGGAAAGTCTGCATTCAGAGCATCTTATGGTTTTTGTGTTCTGTTTTTAATATAATCTTTATTCTGTCAGAATACATGAGGGAAAAATATTCCGTTATAGTATTCTAAACTAAAACTTATACTGTTAACAGAATAAAGCTTAGATCAACATCGTATATGATGATGTGAGATCACAGGATCATCTGTTATCTTGTGTTATGATCGTATAATATCAGAGTGTTCGTTCATTTTCTGTCGTTATTAATCGTCAAAAAATCATTATTATTTTATTATCATCATTAATATGTGAGATCCAGGGCCGCAAATAGGAGCAGAACATTAGGGGAGGTGTAAAACAAAATTTCTCTTTCAGGTGGTATGAAATTGATAAAAAGCTTTTGCGCGAGGATAATAGATAAAATAATAACAGCTTTTTCAACTATTCGGGGGCTGCGCACTCCCTCGCACCCTCCCGTTATTTGCACCCCTGATCAGATCTTAGACTTCATCGAGCTATATTTTTTGGAGAAGTTGGAAATTATATTACAAATAAGAATCCAGATTCATCCACAAACCGTATCGTCACTATTTTTCACGGCTAACTGACTTGAAAACACAAAAATTAAATAAAACTGCGTGAAGAACAGCAATCTTACCTCAATCGCTTTGTCGTAACTTTAAGGTCCAGTTGAAATTATCATTTCTTGTTCCACAGTAGCAAAACAGCATGCTGATTTTCAGAATCCGCTCATGTTCAAAAGAATGTATATAGTCATAGGAGGGAAATTTTATAAAATAAAATGTATGGTAAGTGACAAATACAATCAGAGTGAAATATACATCACTTTACATTAATCTGTCTTGATCGACCATGAATAGAGAAAGAATCTCTCGAACTCGAACAATAAGACAAGTAAACTTTGTCTAAAATGGTTCCAGATAAAAAGACATCAAAAATTCTCACAAACAAAAAAAGAGACTTTATTACAGTGTATATTAGCAATGAATGCGTTTAATGATGATAATGATCATAAAAAATAGGCTATTTTCGTTTTTTTCTTTTCTTATTAATTCAGTCAGCACCAGCACCAAAACGCATAAAAAAACAACAGAAAAAAAACCCATTAACAATTACAGTTTATGAATAACCTTGACTAAACCTACTTTCTATATACCAAGTTCATACAAAGACATCCTCTTAAATCAAAAGAAGATACTTACTTTCTCAACATAAACAAGTTTCAAAAAAATTTTATCCTCTTAACGAATACCATGGTTTCATATATATATTTCACCTCTTTCGAGTTCAGAACTCAGATATGCCGCGACACGGAGAGGGAAACATCCCTGATAGCACTGTCGCATAATCACATAGCTAATGAATGATGCAGACGATGGTTTCATTCAAATACATCGTCTCTTTCAAGTTCAGAGCACAAACACGACCGCCTACAAAGAGCGGAACACCGCTAATAGCACTGTTGCACGATCGCACAGCTCATGAATCATTCACACCATGATTCAATTCAAATATATCGTCTCTTTTGAGTTTACAACTGAGCCATGATTTCGCCTAAAAGCAAAAGATCTCTAAAAGCACGGTAGCATGATCATACAGCTAATGAATAATTCAGACTAGTATGAATGCGTTCAGATATTTCGCTTCTTCTGAGTTAGTTCATTGTGCCTGTTCAACTGCTTTTGCGAATATCTTGGTCATGTTCTCGAAGACAACAAAATTATTGGATTCGCCAAACGGTACTCTCTATCGATCTGATCCTCAGCCAGTTGATATATCAATCTTGCTAAGCGATATAAATCACTGCTAAGATCAGAAGGCTGCTGTTCACGTGGGGAAGGCGATGCATCACTAGAAAGAGAAGAGCGTGTAAAAAGTCGGTTGTTCCTTACACTGGAAAAAAGTGTTGCTGTAAAGACGGTTCGCACATACGACGTTCCTTTTGAGTGGCTTTCAGACTGTTGCGAGGAATACTTTCAGAAAGTATTCTTCCTCAGAACGCTTTTAGCACCTGAGTGCGCCACTTGTAAAAGTATTCAAGTTGAAATCAGGTTTAACAAGGGTCCTCTGCTGCCTATTTGAACAGTGGCGTTTGTCGAAAGTGCTTCGCGAAAAGAGGTGCTTAAAAAGAGCAGTTCTCAGTACACTTTTTTGTTTAGAGTGTATGTTTTCACTTGGGGAAAAGGTCAGATACTTACCAGTGATTTAACAAGACCATTACCAAAACTGCAGCTGCAACTAATACCAGTCTTTGAAGCATTTTTCTTGTTTGAGTTTTATATGGTAAATAATGTAAATTGTGTAGTTGTAGGAATGATGATAAATATTTAGTTTTTTCACTGTCAGATTATTTGTTGTACTGTACTTTTCATACTGTCTATTTTTCAGTCAACTAATTCAGGTATAACACCATTTCAGTTATCATCATAGAAAAAAATTATTTTTCTGTTAGTATTACGCACTAAGTATATTTTTCTTCGTATTCTTATCTGATGTATATTCTGTGGGGGAAGCTTCATCACCTTTAAACTATAACTGGTAGGAAAGTTAATATCTATGGTTCTATACTTTTCCATTATCCTTCGATTCTTTTCTTCGGATTTGTCGAATCATGTAGCAGTTAACCCGGAAACTAGATGCGAAACACCTACAAACATTCGACACCATTTCTGAAAATTTCAATTAAAAGTAATGGTTGTAGGCTGAATCACTCACAATCTCAATACAGACATAGCGTATTTAAATAGAAATATTTCGGTAACTTTCAAGTGTTTTGTGGTTCTAAATGTTGATGATATGATATCGGTGTGTTGTACGATAAGTTAAAGCTGAAGAAATTTTCGGTCCACAGTATGGACTAATCTTTGCTCTATCGAATGGACGAAGAATCAGTTTTAGTGATGATTCCCGTACTAATCTGGTATTGATCACTCTTTCTTTTGGCCACAATAAACTAGAAAATGCTTTAGCCCAAAGGCATGTCACCAAGGCATCCACAAAATCCAGTATATGAGTTTCTGAAAGCCACCTAGACGGGTCCCATCAAAGGCACCGAACATTTTCATTTTGTTGCTCATTTTAATCCAAGCCACGCAAAGCAGCTGGGTAGTCTATCAATTATATGACATCTTCTTGGACATTATGTCAGACAAAATATGATACGGAAAACAAGCTCATTTAATGTGTGAGTAGTGTCGCCACTGAAGAAGTAGGTCACCAAGGCCTTTCTTAAGATAACGTTTTGCTATGACAGCAGACATGCCTGAAGCACCAGTTTACCCGCCAAAGTGCTTCATATAGCACTGTTCATCAGTCTGTGGTCTAGTCTAGTGTCATTTGTGTCAATCTGAATGCAGTTGATTAGATTCAGTTGAGTCTGTTGTTGTGTCTCTGTATGTTTCTAGTCGAACTTTTCAACTAGAAACATGTCACGCGATTTCAGTTATTTCTAGCGATAAGAAGTTCTATATATTCAGAGAGGAAGAAATAATTCTAGTCTGTAAATAGTGAGAGTCAATTTTGATCAAAAAGTAAAAGTCTTGTCCAATTTTTCTTTTCGCTGAATCATGTGACGATAGTTATTCTTTTGTTTGTTTTCAGTATGATTTTGGTAGAGTCTGTTCAATTGTGGTGCTGTCTCGATCAACTTCCATAGCGTCGATGGCTTTTGAGCATTCTATAGAGGAATCAATGATCGGCTCTCATTTCAATTTTAATATTCTGTTGTTCTACTATACATTTGATCATGAAATAACTATTAATAGAAGTGGACGTTTCACGCATTTATTCAAGGATATTCATTCTTGATTGAAAGACGGTCACGCATGGTAGACTTGTTTTATCCAATTCACTATTATATGCAGTCTGATGAAAAGAGATAAAATGAGTTTAATTGTGTAACGCGATAAGCACAAAGCGCAATCTTCTATCGATAATAAAAGACGCTTGTGCGCTCTATTTTCACGTTGAAAAATCATCGAGGCATTCACAAAAAAAATAAAAATCAAGTAAAACGTTCGAAATACATACCAGTCGATTCGATTTGTGATCCTCATTTTGAATGTGATATTTTTATTACATAGAAGTTGAGTTCTGTTGGAGAAAATTGAGAAATACGAGCAGAATCCTGACTTTTCCCCTCTATTTTAGAAAAAATCCATAGCAACCAAGATCACATAATACGGAGACATTGTCAAACCCTACGTTTGTTCAGTTTTTAATTCTCTATCCAATCACATTTGAACCGAGTCTCTATCTCTTGGCTGAGCTAAGCTACATTCAATTTTAAAAAAAGTTGAATTTTTTAAATTTTAAATTATCGCGAAAAATTATTTTTATAATAAAGATTAGACCCAGATTGTTGATCTGAAGTCCATAATAGATAGACTTCAAGTTGATATAAAATCTGTTTCCAATAGTCTCATAGTTAAAGAGAAGCAAATTTTTATAAAAGTGGTCATTATAAGGGCCATAGGGCAAGAAAGGGTTAAGCTGAACATGAATATATCTAGTGTAATGATAAACACCTGATTATTTTCAACAATCAAAAGAAAGTAGTTCGGAATAATTACCATACTCTCTTAACTTGTCATCACGTACTCACTATTGCATATTAGTATCCAGGTTGTCATGAACATCAACGTTTGATGCTGGCATATTCATTTGAAAATTTTTTAATGAATTTCTTTACATCAATTAGTTTATCGTTAAGCTTAATAAATTTTCAATGATTATTTGATATTTGATATTTTTGTTGTTGTTTATAACATATGTCAACACTGCTATTTAAATTTGCTATTTTCAGATCATTTCCATATTCATTTTTACTTAGAAGTATAATCAGTGTTTGTTTATAATGTTTAATATTTACTTTAAATTGTTCAATTTTATAGTAACAATTTCCTAGTCGAATACTTAAATTATAAATTTTATTTTTATCATATAAAATTAATTTCTTTTGCAGTTAATAGTCAATTGCTAAAATATAATCTTCTAGTTCTTCATAACAAACATCTATTGTATAATTGAATTCTAAAATGTAATTTTCATTAGAGATGATAAGGCTTTCTTAAAATATATGATAGGTGAAATATAATCTTTAATTTTAAAATATATGAAACCTTGATGTGCATAGTATTGCCCAGTATATTATCATCATCTATTTGATTCTCAACAGGGAAAATGCTTTTCATAAACTTCATATGCAGGAATATATTGCGGTTCCTTTAGACAACAGTTGTGATTTTTATATCAGAATTATTCATCGAATGTCCGGTGTATTCGGTTTTATGATTGGCGAGTTTCTTATCCGTTAAGCTAGTACTCGTTGAATGTTTTAGTTTAAGCCTATATGTAAGGTTCTTGCCTTAGAACATTGAGACTCGAACATCTGACCCTCACCCTCACCTTCAGGTGAAATATTCGAGTCTCAATATCTCAAGGCAAGAAAATTCATTAGGATCGAATTTTTTCCCGTCGTACTACTATGACCATGGGCTTCCAGTGTGGCAAGTTTCAAGTCAAAATTCGAAAGTCGGATTTTGCTCGATATCCAAGCTCTATAGGCAAAAACTGACTAAAAATTCAATATCTCAGCAACAAGGCATCATGGGGATGAACCAACTTAGAGTATTTCACTACTTACTGAGGTTTACAAGATACAAGTAGTCCGAGTTCAAAAGCGATTTATAACCTCAAGAGATTCCCTCGTCAATCAAACTTTTTTGGGCTTTACGATATTCTACAGATAAAGCACAGTATTTCTTGACATTCTGAAGTAGGCTGGATGGATTTTGACTGAGTTATGAACTTTTTTAATTTTTGATGAAAATAGTTAAAAATGGGTTATTTCACCAGGTTTCCACTCGGTTCTTGTATTTTGTTCTGAAAACTAACATTGCTACGAGATTCTACATAGTCAATAACCTATATTTTCATGTATTTTCAAAGGTCCGAGACTGACGGATCGAGGAGGCGTACTCCTTCGGAAAAACCTTCAGAACTCCCGGGCTGAGCAAAATGAAACTTTTGCTTAGATCCCATTTTGTATCAGACACTTTGGATTATCTACCTACGAAAAAAATAATAGATTTCTATGTAAAAATTTTGAGCTATTAACTGATTCTCCACAGATCCTCAGAAAAACTAGGTTTTGAAATCTTTTCCAGATGAAAATATGCAGAAAAAATTGAAAATTGAAATTTTCCAATTGAAAATATGCAGTAAAGTGTCCTCTTTCGATCTTGAAAGCCGTAGATCTCTGTCTATCATCCCCTTCGAGTTATTCAAAAAACAATCAGGGATCTTCTTTTTTGAGATGGATAACAGTTTTAGTTTTTTATACTGAATTTTGCTAAATTGCTTGTTTTTCTTGTTTTCAAACAATCAGGGACCTTCTTTTTTAGACGGATAGTAGTGCATCTTGTAGAGCTTGAAACTCTCTATTTGTAGATATTGCTTGCATTTTTCCGTTATAGGATCAAACCGGACTCCTTTTCGGTTAAACAAGAATAATCAGCATTAATAGCACTTATTAATTATTTGTGGGAAGGGAAGAAAAAAATGGTTTCTTTTTCTTTTTGCTCTGATTAATCTCCACACTTTTCTCCACCGTTCTACGGAATCATGTTTTTATCATGAAAGATAAGGCCCAGTGAATTTTTCTAAAAAGAGCTTCAATAATCGCAAATTAGCTTGAAATTTTACAGTAATTAATTTTTTTCGCAGCGATACTGAAAAATTCCATGATGTGTACTTTAAAATGTGCTGTATACAGTAGCAATCTCTGAGCGAAATCGAAATTAGTAGCCGCGTTATTCATTCATTAATGGTTCATTTGGTTGTAATGATGTTTGCTCTAAATAAAAAAATACGACAATGGGAACGAACTAAGGTGAGTTTTTCAAAATTATCACCCTTACTTTGTTCTAACTGTAAATCATTAATTTCTGATGTTGCTTCTCTCGTGGCTCTTCTAATAAGAGAATAAATTGTGTATAAAACAGCAGAAATTAAGTTAAAAATGGAGAGTATGATAAACAACAGCCGCAGTGGACGTATTGATGTGTAAATGAATGCACATATTAATAATCCAGTAGCACGACCTAGAAGAACGTATGTAAGTGATGATACTATAACTGTAGTTTTTACCACTTTTAACCTAATCCTAATAATCCTGATGCAATTCCTTGTAGAGTACCCGCCAAACCATGAGGAGCTGAAATAAAACAACATATTTAGAAAATGAATCATCCATCACACATTTCTACGTACCAATGTCGTGGGCTCTTTTTGCTACAAGAACGCATCTTATTCCAAATGTGAAAAAATGAAATGTTTCTATGGGTAAATAATTATTTGGATGACGAATCAAATAGTAACTGGCAAATCTTGCCGAATAGGCAAGAAGAATAATGATCGAGGCTAGATCAGTGCCCACTTTATTTAGAATATATCCGGAGAAGAAAAATGCGCATAATTCGCTCGTACACGCTATCAACCACATCCATCCAATGAGGCGATGACTGGAACACGGTGCAATTTCATCAATGAATAAAAATAGATAGGGATCCATAGCTAAAAAAACAAAAATATATTTTCATTCATAGTTTAAGAGCAATTACTCCTACCTGACTGAGATATACCCACAACAAGAACGAATACGAGAAACACAACAACATCAATCTCTTTTAATAATGATGATATTACTTTTATATTGAATTTTTTCGTTGGTGAAGACGATGGTGATGGTTCACTACGTTTAATATGAATCAATGATGTGAATATTATACACAAAACAGTACAGACGAGAAATGATATTAAATAGACAAATTCCGTTTTGAATATTCGAAACAATTGACTACCCAAAAATGCTGCTAGACCAAATCCAATGGTACCATATAATCGTTGGTAGCCAAAAAGATCTGGATGAGTGAGAGTGGTAAAAGCAATGCAAGTGGAGACAGTAGTGGCATTGGCCATTAAATTTGCTCCAACAACAAAAATGAGTGAGTAGAGGAGAACGGTGACTATTTGAAGAAGACTTCGTCGTTGACTGTGACAGAGCTGTGGGATACTACATGTGATTGTACATGCAGAATTTGTCGTGCTAAGTAATAAATCTGGAAGCGAAGACATTTTAGAAGTAATCAAAGAATCTGACACTCATCATTCATACCCTCTGTTGCGCTGATAGGTACTTTGTATTGAATTCCTTCTTTACATGTACTACTTAGTTGTGTGAAATTACTTACGGAAAATGTAAAATTAAATCGATCACAAATTGCTGTATGAGAACATCCACATTGTGATCTCGATGAACAATCATCAATCATTTTTTGTGACGCACAAAATTGTAACTGAGATTCGTTTGTCATAAGTCGTCCTTGAATGGAATCTGTTTTTATTTGAGGTAGAACGGTGAACATCATTACGTATATGAGAGTGGCCAGCGTCACAAGAATATTGAACACCAACAAATAACGTTTACTACGATCGACTATTAGGCCGAAAAGAGGATGAGTAATAAATGTTAGACATGGTATAATTAAATTTGTGTACGCTAATTCTTGATTAGATAAACCTCTATTACGTAAATAAATGTTCAATATCGGATATAAAACACCAAAAGCTAGAACATAGAATATATTCTTTAGTATATCGAATGATAAGTATAGCTAAATATCACCTGCAAAGAACAAGAAATAATGAATTTTTAATAGAATAAAATATTTATGAATGAATAATGATTTCGCCACATTGTTGGTTGTTTCACTAGTCATTAGCATCAACTCGTTTTTTCTTCAATTTAAACACGAAAGATTAATATAAAAAACAATGAATGTTGAAATATACAAAGACAAGTGATGCATATGTCAGACGTGCCCTTTACTATTCTTATATTAAGCAGATTTACATTTATGATGGAAAAAATCATTTGTGTTTGTTCTGCCAAATAAAGAAAGAACAGAAAAGAGCGCATATACAAACGATGTTAATTTGTTTATTTGAACTTTGTACACAGAATTTCCTTGATCAATAAACATATATCCCATTATTGTCTTCTTTTCCTAACCTATTATTGTATAATTATTATTTTCTTCTTTCCTCGACTATCGCCTAATAAACTCGTGTACGTGTTGACCATCTAGTTGCAAAAAATGATATAGACCATGATGAATAATATTAACAATGAGTAAGTCGAGAAATTTTGAAATCTATCAAACAAGTTTTCATCAGATATTAAAAATTTATGCCTTTTACCCATCCAAAATAAGGATAATAGGCAGAACATTACATGGAAAAGTTGGTCTATAGACCAACGTACAAAATAACCTAAAATTTAACCTGTGATAATTTTACGCACATTGCTAAACTAAGCTAAAACTCAAGAAATAAAGGTTTCGAAATATGATCTTTCTTTCTGGCTCACTCAGAACCTTTTTAAGATACACGGAATTAAAACGTCTAGAACACGAATTTCAAGAAAAACATTCAGATCGGAAAATTTTTCCATACACACCATAAGATAGAGCGTTCAATTTCCTTCAAAACGAGACCTTACTCACCTTTCTTGGTGTTCTGATGAAAAATGCGATCGAAAATACGAAGTGTGCCGGATAATATCGTAGATTTCTGTTTTATCGCAACCTAAAATTTTATTTCAGATAAGGTTTCAGATTTCCTGTAAACGTTAGGACTGATGTCAGGTAACCGATAAGAATTTCCAAAAAACAACTGAAACATAAATAATTGAGCGTATCGAAACTCGTAGCTGTCTTTAATTTCCGCAAGAATTCAAAAACTTCATGAAAATCTATCTTAGCAAAATTATCCATTTGTTCTTTATGACCAAAAATTTAGAAACTTATAATTCAGTCAAAAAATATTCGATGTACTTTAAAACTACGAGTTACAGTGTATTTTATCTCTAAAAGAATAAATCCTTCTTAGTTAAATCTCAGTATAGTTCAGTTTGATGAAAGCTGGAAACGTCAAATTTGAATGTGTTTTATCTAACGGGTGTGAGGCATAAAGAATGTCGGTCTGAGTATTTCGTTATTATTTCGCTCAGTTTTCACTGTCAAGGCTTTAACTTCTTTTAAAAGACTCGCCGTTTCATTCTCTACAAAAAACATGTTCAATATTTTTTTATATATCATAGAAATAAAGGAAGATAGATGAAATACTGCGACGCTTCAATTTCCATTGCTTTCTAGCCCAAAAAACAGTTTTTCAATCCTAGCCCTTTATATTTTGCGATACAGAATAAGAGAAGACGATCGCTTTGTAGCCCTTGAAAAGCTCTACCAATTGGCTATGTTTAAAACTCTTCATAATCGTAAGTCGTTACGGGAGAAGTTTTTGCGTATATTAATTTTATCAAAAATCGCCGTTTTCACTGTAGTTTTCGTACCATATGCAACAAATTTTTATACATCGGTCAAAATCAAATATTTTGAGTTTTGGTATGTCTTATCGTAACGGAGATTAATTCTTCTGTTACATCCGAAGAGAGGAAGCTCGATAGCTCCTGGCTACCCAAGCAAAAATGCTTTAGGGAGAGAATCTAGCTCCATCGACTACATAACCGGGCGGTTATTCACTTGATGGATCTAGGTAAATGTACCTTTTTACCTAGTTACCTAGCTCCAACCTAGTAGTGAACCGAGCACTAGGTTATCATAATCGAGTAGGAGCGGGAGGCTGACATCTAGGTTAACCGGTCGGTTGGAGCTAGATCAGCTAGAGTTAGCTCGATTGATCGGTTAAGTGGGCGATTAACCTAGGTGATAACCTCCCCAACCGCCCAAAAATATGTTGAACCTCCCGATCCTAGGTTAAACTTTTTGAGGTGGAGCTAGTTTAATCAGGTCGAAAACCGTGTTACCTAGCTCCAACCGCCCGATTCTAGCTTCATTTTTTTTGCTTGGATAGGTAAATTGTAGTAAAATGGCTTTCCGTATCAGAAAAACACGTTCAGAGACAACCTCTAATACATGAAAAGAAAGACGACCCTTCGTGGCACCAACACATACGTTTTGATTCTAGTTTGTTGCATAGCATCATGTTCAAAATAAATATCTTTTCGTTGTATTTAGGTTAGAAAGTAATGGAAACTGAAGCTTCGCAGTATTTCACCTATCTTCCTTTATTTCTACGGTATATAAAAAAATGTTCCATATGTTTTTTGTAGAGAATGAAACGACGAGTCTTTTAAAAAGAAGTTAAAGCCTTGACAATGAAAACTGAACGAAATAATAATGAAATACTGAGACCGATATTCTTTATAGCTCATCTGTTAATAATTCTAAAAGTTAATTTAGTTTCAACTTATTATTTTTCTAGAGAGATTTTGAAAATCTTTCTAAGCTTTTGTAATCCACATGAAACTATTCATAATTTCGATGGAATTTGTTTTAAAAAACTAAGAGTTTAGAATGTGCCTTACAAAGTGGAAAAGTGTCAAGGAACTTTGTGGTATGGGAGATCTAAAAAGTTTTTATCTTAATTAGAAGCGCATAAAACGCTTATTCACTTCGCTAAATAAAAAAACTGCATGAAATTTTCATGAAAGACTGAGTTTGATATGCCAATAAAGCTCTTTCTTAATCCAGTTCAATATAATATGACATGAAACGTGTCAGATACATTCAGTGCCGTAAAAACAATGTTAACATTTCAAAGGATGCGTTACATACTATCAATACTTAATATGAAAGTAATATTATTTAGTATTGTCTATTGTTTGTATGATAATTTTGTTTTACGATACAGAGGTAGCGTGAGATATTTTATTGTTTTTCTAGAATTATACATGACAAAATAGCAAACAATTTTAACTTGATGACTTTTAAGTGTTTTGTTGTATTCTCAAGACAATAACATGTTTGAGTGCATTATTAGTAACCAAACATTACAAGTTTTTCTTTCATAGTTTTTCATCAGTTTATCTAAAGGAACAGAAAAAAGAATTTCTCATTTTTGTAATGGAGTTTTTGTATGGTATCTTTTTAAGAAAATTTTGACGATACCATAAAACAACGTTCATATAGTAATAACAGGATCTCTTTTTAAATATTTTTATCCTCTCAATCTTTAATATCTTTTGTCTATTCTAGTTTCATTTTTTCTTTTACTGTTATTTTACATCATGCCATTTGCAATAGGGTGCAAATGAATGACTCTGTCGATTTTTCATGAAACTATTCATACATTTATTCTGTCATTCTCAGCGAGCCCAGTTTTAGCTAAAGTTTGACCACCCAATAGTAGCGTAAAATTGTAATATAACGGCAGGATTCTATTGTGTAATAAACTAATAACTCTCAGAAATGTCTTAATGATATGAATAAACATTAAACAAATAAAAATAGAAATTCGTCATTCTGTATGTGAGGTTATGAAATTTTGGGGTTATTCCTCGATCTGCTTTTGGAATTTCGACATTTCTGCAAACGTAATTTCTGCATTGACATTTCGACAGATTTTGACAAACGCAGGAATTTATTCAGAATTTCTACTTTTGCAGGAATTTTTTTTGACTTTACTAGGAATACTAGTGCAACTGTATTTATGAACTTGTTGTAAAACAAGAGAAATTGTGTTCTGTGTTTAGGTGTATTCTGCTGTGCTGTTCGGTTTTGTAGCCAAAAGTAAAAATTGTGAAAATTTTTTGTTATGGTAAGACGGTAGTATTTATAATAAATAGTAGTTTTTGTTGAATAAATATTGTTAAATTTAATCCATATCAAATTAATTCTTGATTAGATTAATTAGGCCTTGATATTACTCTTGACGGTATTGGAATTTCGACGATGTTGTCAAAAATTCCAAAAATTTTCGGATTTTCGACAACGCTGTCAAATTTTGCTTTTTGCAAAATTCCTGTGAATGTTTTTTTTCAGCTTTTTCAACATGCAGTTTAAAGCTGTTTGTAAAATAAACACTCAAAAATGAATGAATCAGACTCGTTCTTGCGTCATTTTGAAGAGAAACGTTTCAGCTATTCGACTCATGTGCGAAATATGTGATGTCAATTCTCTAAAAATAATCGAAACGCCGAAACTACCATTTTGTTCATTTTTGGTTGTCAGTTATTAATTAAACATTTTACCCACATGGAACGGATGGAGATGAAATTAATCGTCCCAACTAATGGAGGATATCTAAATGTGCCAAGAAACGACCTGAAATCTTTTTTCTGTCCATCTGAACATGGGTTTCAAAATTCAAAATCGTTGCCAAAAATGTTTTTATTTTTTGAAAGTTTTGGGGCATTTCGGTTTCTGTTCAATCAAGACGGAATCTCAAGTCTCAGGATCATCTCCTATATACCATTTTGTAGTGAATTAAATGATGAATCTTCTGCAAAAAACAGCTGAATTGTATCACATGTATTCATATAAATAACGTCAATTTACAAAGCGGG